AATGAAAGCAATAAAGATCTAAATCATGACTTATTATCATAGAGTCTAATATCATGTAAAACAACTAACTCACATGAAAGTTTAAACTTTTAAACGAAAGCCCATCAATATATAGTTTTATATTTTACTGACAAAACAAATTCTTAAAATTTAAAAATAAAATTATAAAAATTTTCAAAACAAATTTCTAAAATTTTGTGGAAAGTATTTAAATTTTTGTGTGTCAAATTATGTAAGTTTTGAGTTGTAAATATTTTTAATTTTTAATAAAAGTAAAAGCCGATATAAACATATAAAAAGTGACAATTATCTTTTGCTAAGCATGTTTCCGATGCCAAAAGTGCGAAAACACTAGAGTCAGACTCGTGGAGAAGGGCATAGAAATATTAGGTTACCTGAAATAGTTCTTACCAAAGAGAGAGAGAGAGTCTAGGCCTTTGGCAACCCCAAAGTGGGTAAAGGCATGGTCACCAATTCCTTATTTGGAAACCTTAAAGAAACAGAAAAAAAGAGAGTCCCTCTCTTTATGAACCTTCGCTTCTTCCCATTATCCACGTAAAACAGCGACACGTGCCATTTTTCCTTCATCGTACTTGGGATGGCGAGCACTCGGCGAGTTTTTGCAGATTGTTTATTCGTTTTGACACGCATGCCCTTTGCAGATAGGTCCAGTACCAGATATACCTTCGGCTTCCGTTAACAATTGTGGAATGCTAAGATTAAGATTAAACTAACAATTAATTTAAATATTATCCACTACACCAACTAACCAATTATGGCTCTTCACGCTTTATAATGAAAATACATTTAAAGGGTACTTTCTTCACGTGATCTCACCCAAATTATGGAGCCACTTGCATTTCTTTATCTACAATTTGTTAGTCAATTAGTACGGGTCTCCGTGCGCTTCCTTAATCCTAGTCCCACGGGAAAATGCTAGCATAGTACTATTACCCATATAAGGAAATTACACATGCCGTACAATAGTGATAAGTCAATATAAATTCACAGTTTTGAGCTTTTTTTATTTTATTTTAGGAATTTGAACTTATAAAAAGAGTACTCATACAAAAGGATACTCTAACACTCAAAACAATGATTACTACCAAAAGAGTATAGAAAAACTCTTTAACAAGTTTATGTATTAATTCGTACACTATGCAATATATATATATATAATATATATTCCATGCCCAAGCATAAACACTTAAGCTCAAGAAAAGCTTGGATATAACATTATTCACCCAAATACAAGTGCCCTTCCCAAGTAAGAGGGGACGCAATACTTAGAATTTAAATGATCCAACTTGAACGATTGTTATATATAAATATTAGATAGTGCCTATATTTAAGTTATTTAATGTACTGGGATTTTTTTTCTTAACAAAACAATATATATAAATCTTAACTGAAGTCGATTTTTATTTTAATTTCTTACATTTAAATAGAGAGAACGTCCTCTAACCTTAAATTTTGTGTTAGAAAAAAGTTGAAAGAAATACGTTGAGACAATGAATAAATTTGTATAAATTTGTTTTATAGTCATATGTATATTGTATGGGTTTGTTTTTTCTAAAGTTACTTTAGATAACTTTATCTAATGTTAATCGAAACGACGTCGTTTTGGAACGAAAATCATGGTGTTTTTATAATTTTAATTTATTTCAGGGTTATAAGAGTCTTTATCATTCTATTTTTTCAACCCTAAAACGACATCGTTTCGATGAACATTAGATAAAGTTATCTAAAGTAACATTAGATACTTTTTTCCCATATTGTATTCACTATATGTATTATATAAGTTTCTTTGGCACACGTTAAAGTTAACAGTTGCACAAATTATCTACTCTTTTCGGTTTCAAGAGCATCTCTTGGCTAATTCTTTTTTTTTTGGTAAGCTGAGCAGAAGTACCCCAGCACAAAAAAGAATTATAGATCATAAATACTACGAGGTCTACTAATAGACGTTAAGTCAGCATTAAAAAGAAGCTCAATTCTAGGGGAGGGGAGCTAAAACAACACATTTCAAGAGCATCAATATGAAATAGGGGAAGTTTGCCGGCCAGTCTGCATATTGGTTGTCTTCTCTATATGTGTGCCTCAATTGAATTCTTCAATTTTTATCCAACCATGCTTGTATTCGAGATATCATATGAGTTTCGTGGGCTGCATCTCTAGACTTAGTGAGCAATGTGATAGCAGATGTTTAATCACTTTCAAGTATGATGTTCCTCCAACCATGTTCTCACGCCAATTCCAACTTCTCGAGGATACCCCAAAGCTTAGCATTGTTAATGTTAATGTCAAAATCAATATATACAAATACAAATGCTATGTAATAAGAGTTAATTACTCATAAGATATATAATTAAGTCATAAAGTGAATTGATAATTTTATGAAAGAAAAATGTTAACTCATTGAAATAAATCTTTACAAAAATAAAATAAAATGATTTCATCACTAATTTATGATCCCAATTATAATACAGTTTCAATAAATAAACTAGTCATGAATCTTTAACTAATAGTTTAAGTTTTTAAAAGAGTTATTTTTAACATGGTATTTTGTGTAAATGGCGTAATTTGTTAATTAGTTAACACTACTAGAAAAGTTATTATTTTCGACGAAATTTTTTGACGGAAAAAATTTCCGTGGAAATTACTGATGGAATTTTCGACAGAATTCATTTATCGTTGAATTTTTTTACGGAAAATTGATTCCGTCAAAAACTATCGACGAAAAGTTGATTCCGTCGAAATGTTTTCGACGGAAAATGGATTCCGTCGAAAAAGGATGAATAAAATAAATGCAAAAGAAATTAATTTTGTGTAGTTTTTCGACGGACAAAGAATTCCGTCGAAGATTTATGACGGAAAACTAATTCCGTCGAAAACGGATTAATAAAATAAATGGAAAGGAAATTAATTTTGTGAAGTTTTTCGACGGAAAAATAATTTCGTCGAAGATTTTTGACGAAAAATTAATTCCGTCGAAAACGGTTGAATAAAATAAATGTAAAAGAAATTAATATTGTCAAGTTTTTTTTATGGAAAACGAATTCCGTCAAAAATGGGTGAATAAAATAAATGGAAAAGAAATTGATTTTGTGAAGGTTTTCGACGAAAAATTAATTCCGTCGAAAACGGATGAATAAAATAAATGAAAAAGAAATTGATTTTGTGAATGTTTTCGACGGAAAATGAATTCCGTCGAAAACGGGTGAATAAAATAAATGGAAAAGAAATTAATTTTGTGAAGTTTTTCGACGAAAAATTGATTCCGTCGAAGATTTTTGACGGAAAACGAATTCCGTCAAAAATGGGTGAATAAAATAAATGGAAAAGAAATTGATTTTGTGATGCTTTTCGACGGAAAATTGATTCCGTCGAAAACGGATGAATAAAATAAATGGAAAAGAAATTAATTTTGTGAAGTTTTTTGACGAAAAATTAATTCCGTCGAAGATTTTTGACGGAAAACGAATTCCGTCAAAAATGGGTGAATAGAATAAATAGAAAAGAAATTGATTTTGTGAAGCTTTTCGACGAAATATTGTCAATAAAGAAATATAAAATAATAGTATATATATCATCCATTTGTTGTCACTAATTAATATAAATATTTTAATATATAAAATAAGTACTTCAAAAATGTTTTGTTGTACCGTTTACCATTTACTTAGATCAATTAAAATTTAAACGAAATTAATAATAGGATTTATTTTGTTTCTTTTTTTTAGCAATAATAGCATTTATTATGTTCCTTATTATACCAACATCTATATATTTGTTACATATAGGTCACCAAATTTCTTTCTCTAAAATGGTCAAGAATATTAAACGAGTGATAACAATTTAAATATTTTAATAATATTAATTTTCCTTTGTTAACGAGTATATAAATAAAACATAAAATTAAAATAGCTAACACAACAATATTTATTGAAGTATATTAAATTTATTCAAAAATATTAACCCGTATACAAATAGTATGAATAGATTATTAAAAAAATGCAATTATATAGAGTATAAGGATAAGAGAATGATAAAGAATGAAAGGGACAGAGAGTGATTCCTATTCACAAGTGAGGAGGAGGAGGAGACATTTACAGGAAACAAAATAGGAGGTTGGCCGACTGATTTCAAGTGGATTAGTGTCTCTCATTAGATGGAGTTTGAAATTTTGTAAAATGGGTGAAATTGTAGGGTATGTTCTTCTTTGTAATATTTATTTCACAAAAAATAAAGATAATGCTTACAAATAAAAATTTGTACGAGTTTCGAGGGGCGAAATTACAACTATAATTATCTGTATATAAAAAAAATTATGCCTATAACTAAATAAAGGCCTGTAATTTGTCTGTCCCACTTTTTGACATAGATAGTGCCCTTCTCTCACTAGGAGCGAAGTTACAATGGTCCTGGAAAAAAAAAAAAATCTATGAGACTAATGTGAGACGAAGAGAAAAAAAGTTGAAGAGAAAAAAAAAAATTAATACAGATATCAATTTTTAATTAAAAAAACCACAATAATCATGGAGCACATTAAAAAATTCCTGTCACTAGAGTCTAGAGTCAAATTTACATACCAACATAGTATAATTTTATTTATTAACTATTATTATGTCTGTGATAAAGTTTGTAATGTAGTACTGATTAAGGGTTGTAACAGAGAAAAGAAAGATTGGACCGCGTTTGGGCCTCTAGGGGCATATTAGACAATCTACAAAGCACGAGTGCAATTTCTCGGTGCAGTCACCGCGATTATTTGAAAAAAGCGCTATTTCTGAAAATAGGAACAAACTACGATATACGGCATGAGTATTCGTAGTTCCACGCGTCAGCATATCTACGGTGGTCGGCACGAATTTCAAGAAACGAATAAAACAAGCCAATCGCGTCTGAGGAGTCAGAAGCTGATTGGGCCACGTGGTATTCCCCCCCAAAACCGGTAGTGGTTTTGTACGCCCCCGATTAGTGGTTTCACTATTCCAACCAAAAGCCGTTTCACCACTTTCCTTATATGGCTAGCTCATGCTGCTGATGTGAATTCAGTCGCATTTGTCTGTTATAACCATAGCTTTCTCCTGTAAGACTCTCTTTCTCTTTCATCTTTCCATTTTTTTTCTCTCTTGCGTTTTCTCTTTTTCTGCTTTTTTTTTCTTCTGTTTTTTTTCCTTTTCTAGATTCTCTCTGTCTTTCTCGGAAATCAATCCGATTTTTCTTCATCATTTTTGGTCGTTTTCTTCTGCATCCAACAGTATATAATCTAGCAAGGATCGATGCTACTCTCTTCTGTTTTTTTTTTTTTTGGAAACTTCATGCTACTCTCTCTTCGCTCTTCCAGGAGCGTTTTCTTCGGTTTTTTTTTTTTTTTTTCGTTTTTCGCTCTTTTTCTTCTTCGTGAAATTGAAGTTTTGCTTGTTGATCTGTTTGCAGCAAGCTTTGGAAGGATCTGAGAGCTAGGGTTTAATTAGGATATATGGGGAGAGGAAAGATCGTGATAAGGAGGATCGACAATTCAACGAGTAGGCAAGTGACGTTCTCGAAGCGAAGGAATGGTTTGCTGAAGAAGGCGAAGGAGCTTGCGATTTTGTGCGATGCTGAGGTAGGAGTTATGATCTTCTCCAGCACTGGCAAACTCTACGATTTCGCCAGTACCAGGTACTCGATCGCTAAGTTCTTAGATCTTCTTTTTCGATCGATCTGTTTCCTTCCTTTCTCATCTCTCTCGCTTTTAAATTTTTGTGCATCGATGTTGAGTGCTATGTCTGTTGTTTGTTTATAATGGCATTATTACTTTCGTTGCTGAAGATAAGAGTAGCGGTTTAGTTTTCTTATTTGTTCTAGTTATTTTTGGTGGATGTTATAGTATAATGGATAGTAAACTAATACTGCACTTAGTTGTCTTAGACTGAATTCACCAGAAATGCTTCCTTCAAGGATATGAAGAAGTTTTATAACAGTTGCGTTAACTAGATGAAAATTTGAAAAAAGAAGTGTGGGTAGTACATTCTGTTAGTCGCATGAAAAAGGGATATTGGAGTTTGTGAAATTGTGCTTGGCTGAGGGGAAGAATTTAAGTTGAAGAAATTTCGATAATATAACCATGCCAGTTACAGAAGGCAATTTTTATATTTATGGATATTACTGATCTGAAGCGCTGAAGAGACACACATTACTAGCATGCATCTATGTTGTGCTCTAGTAGGTGATCGTGAGATGTTTGTCAGTTGGCGTCATAGCAGTATGACATGGAACTTATTTTGCAGATCATACAGTGTAGTGGAAGTTGAATGAGCTTTGTGCGTTAGTGTATAGGTTTGAGTTCCCTAGGATTCTCCATTCTTGTGTATGTTGAAAAACATTAGGTACTAATTAGGCCTTTTCGGTTTGATATGATTGTTTAGTTTTCTTTTGATGAGGTAATAGTTACGAAGAGAATATGAATGATGCTTCTGTCAAATCAGATACATGCATATTCTTAGAGATTGAAGCCTTGTATAGATCAAAGAAGAACGGCATGAAATCCCAGCCTTAAAAATTGTTATATTTATGATGAAATTAAAAAAATATAAACATAACTTAATAAATATGACAGGTTCAATCAATATTACCTCATGCAGTTCTCTTTTCTTTTCTTTTTCCCGGTAGATTCATGCAGTTCTCTGTATTAGAAATGCAACGAATCTTTATAAAAGTTTTCTTTTAAAAATAAGCTAATCCAAATATGTTATTAAGTATTTTAAAGTAAATTTAGGCTGGTTGATCCGGATTTTCATCTAGTTTGTTTAGTCAAAAAATATAGAATAAGGTAATAGGTGATATATATTAATTTATGTTTTAAAAAATATACTAATGTTAAATTAAAATAAAAATTAATAAAGAATGAAAGAACTTTGATTGCATAAAATTTTATAGACTCAATGTGCGTTTGAATTAATTAATTTTATGTTCAAAATATCTTATAATTAAAATCTTATTGTATTTTTATTTTTCACAAAAGCAATTTTTTTTCTAAATATGAAGCAAATCCAAAAATGTTACATATTGAGAATTTTTAGTCTAAGTACAATTCAATTAATGAAAAATTTAACGTTTATTAAAATATTTAAAAGAGGGAGCGTTCTTTCTTTTTCTTTTTCTTTTTTAAAAAATAAAGAGGAAATGTTCTAAAACTTTATAGGATTGGCCCTGAGGCAGGTAACGATAAATTTTTGCTTAACTTGACCTGCATTATACCTGTAGGGATTAAAACCCGAACTTGCCCTAGCAAAGAAAAATATCATAAACCCCATTCACTCCGCATTGCATTTTAAACATCATAAGTTAAATTTATACAATACAATCAAAAAATTTAAAATTATTGATATCATCTTATATGAACTCACATGCAAAGGCGGGACTTGGGTTGGGTTCAATTCTTTATTGAGATTAATGGCTACCTCGCCCTTGCACGAAAGTGAGGATTCTTCCAATCTATTTTTTTTGGGTTTAATATTTTTACTATAAATAGAAAATTTATCTACTTCACACACATGTAAGTGGATGAACATTATATTTTCTCTTTTCTCTCTTCTCAATATAGGACCCCACACCCACCTTCATGTTTGTGCAAGACATAAAGTTATCTCATCCTTGTAGGAGAAACATTAACAACATATTTTTTTACAAAAATAAAAATGTTTAAAATAATCTTTTAACTAGTTACTAAAAATTAATTAATAGAATTAAGACCTTAGTTAGCTTCTCTCCATTTCTAGTGGAATTGAGTCAGGCATAAGGTAGAACTAAAAAATTGGACATATGTAATATACACGCTTCAAGCCCAAAGGACTCTTGCGTGAAGGAGTGTGTTTGATAGATATAATATAAAAATCATTGACTCATAATATACGTCTTAATCCCATCAAATGCACCTTTAGAGTCCTAGCTGGGAAGTTCTTTACCTTTATGCTAAAACATAGAGGCTAACCCGAACAAGTGTAAAGTTATTCTCGATATGCAAAGCCCCAAAGGTAAAAAGAAATTCAATAACTAATAGGGTGTCTAGCCGCCCTCACACAATTTTTTTGTCAAAGTCTGCATAATGGTCCTTACCTTTCTTTAAGCTCCTTATTAACATCATAGTTCCTTTATCATTTGAAGAAAGCCATTGCATTAGCCCAGTTTAGTGCCATACTAATTAAGTATGAATATATATCTGAGCAAGACAGGATATAATAACAAGAATTATTACTACTAAAGTGTGATAAATTAAAACTGAATTTCCATATAAAAAGCTTTTTGATGTAACTAATATACAATATATCTAAATTTATCAATGTCAGAATGTAGTCATGCATTAATCCCAAGGGGTGGCACAACTGGTAAATGAGTTTTGCCCAAGAAGATTACTGTTAGGGCCAATGGCAAAAATGTTCATGCTCTTCCCCACGAAGGGGCTTAGTCTTATTCAAATTGATAAGAACACCTATGGAAAACCGGAAAAAAATATAGTCATGCTTCTAGTTTATATTCAGAACTACAATTTGGTGCTTCAAATAAGGGAGTTTTAAATTTTGGATCTAATTAATTGATTTAGAATAGTTTTAGAACTCATTTTGTTATTCTTTTGTTTTGAGCTTTTATTTGGAATGAGGACTTGAGATGCGCAACACGTAAATTTATGTTTAGAAAATTTGACAACTTAAGTCTTATCTATGTAGTTATTCTGGTCCAGCCAGATGGCTTTGCCCAACCAACCTATGTGGTCCCTCGACAAGGTCATTATTACTTAGCACATGGAGCGTATGACTCCCTTGTACATGTGTCCTCTCATATCTCTCACACATGTATGGCCTTTTATACTTTAGCGGTCAAGCAGCCTTGACACCTAATAAGGCCTATAGGGTTCGAAGTGGTTATGACATCATGCTTTATGCACTTAGATGGGATCTCCAACACCCTATATAAAGAGATTTACGCTCCCTCTTTCTAGCATCTTCTCCATTTTACTTCCTATTGATGTTATTATGCTTAAATCTCTCCTCAAACCATAAATGTAGCCTAGTTACACCTTCCTCTTTCATCCTCGACTAGTCTAAGTCCAGTACGGTGACTCTCTAGAGCTTTGGTCCATACAATTGTCTGTCCTATCTCCATCAGATCAACATACTTCACCTTTAAAAGAAGAATATTAAATAATAACACTACAGGATGAATAAGGAAAATATTAATTAGTGAACTTGAAAAATCAAACGATACATTAAATTCATGCCACTACTTAAAAATGGGACATTTGCGACGGACAACTTCCATCACAAACTAGCCAAATTCCGTTGCAAATAGGGTTTTCCGATGCTAGTTTTTCGTCACAAGATAGTCGTCAATGACGCCTTTATCACCAATTAAATTTGAGATGATAGTTTTTCAATGGTAACTCCTCCACTTCCGCCTCAAAAAGCAGACATGGAAATAGAGAATTTACATTATTTTCAGTCATAAATGGCGACAAGAAATCAGTCGCAAATTTGTGACTGAATGATGATGATGAACCAATCACAAATATTGCGATGGTATTTTTTGATAATTCAGTCGCAAACTTTACTACGCTTAACAAAATTTCTAGTCACAAGTTTTGCAATAGAATTAATTGAAGATAAAAGTAGAAAATATTGCGACAACACAATTTGATGATGTCTTCACAATTTGCGACGAACTTATAAACATATAGGTCACAAATTGACGAATCAGAAAAAAATTATTTGAAATCCGTTTATTTTCCTACATGTAAACAACAACCATACAACAATAACAACACCCACAAGAAACGAATAAAAAACAACAAGTAACATAAACAATATATTCAATATCCAAGTCTGAATAAAAAAAAATACCAATGTGTATCAACAAAATGAAATAAATATTCCGTAATAATCCTAAACAATACAAAAATATGTATAAACCAAACAAGGATAAAAACAATAACAATTGTAAACAATGTATCAAAAAGTGACGCCTAATCATCACCAGAGGAAGATGAAGAGTCATCTATAAATACTGAAGGCTCTGTAGGTACAGAGGCTCTCCATCCTTCTTCTTCTTCTTCTTCTCTTTCTTTTTCATGAACTTGGAAAACAATTTCTGCATGTCAATCAACATCTTCTTTGTATCCTTTAGTTCGCCATCTAATTGAGATGTCATCTCTTGATGAGAAGCGTTCAATTGTTTCACCAACTCTTGCATTTTATTCATTTCATCTGCAAATACATCATTATAAAGTCAATTATTTTGTACTAAATTTAAATGGATTAGGTGGTTTAAATTTTAAATAATTTTGGGGCCTTTACCTTGAGATATAGCTCTAACCTGGATGGAAGACCGCTTACTACTCTTGTATCGGTTGGCAGATGCTCCTAGCCCGAACACTCTTCCATTCCTATTGAATCCTCCAACAGCCTGAAGGAAAAGGTCGTTATCAGACTGAGAAGAGGCATATGCACCATCTACAGCCGCCTGCGTCGCCCTCTAGTGTTGGAGCTTCTAGTAGGTCTCCTACAAAAAAGAAAACAAATTATGAATAACGATAAAACGGAATAAACGCTCATAATTCAAACAAAAGTGAAGTAATCAATGTCTCACCACTATTTCACCTTATTTGCGGTTAATCCACCGCTTCCCAGCTTGTGACTCTTGGGAATGGGTCCTCTCAAATGCAACCCAATCGAGAGATTTTGGAGGCACATCCCCACTAGTGACTTGCAAATAAAAATGAGCACTATTAATTAGTTGCAAGTGCAAACTGAAGGATACCAAAATAGAAAATAATATATACTTACAATTTTTCTCCTCCAGTGCTCACTGAATGGAATGGAGTCTCCGGCATATAAAGGTGTGGTCAAGTGCATCCTATTCAACTTGTGGTCAAGTGCATCCTATTCAACTTATTCTGCTCAGACTTCCTCCTAAACGCCTTATCTGCGCTCCACTTTTCCTTTAATATTTTCTGAGTTTTAGGATCACACCAGGCTTGATTGCCCTTATTAGTCCTGAATTTATACAATTTATCAGCATACCACTTTGAAGCTCAATGAGCCCAAGCAACAACCAAATCAGAGTGATGCTCGGGCAGCCACCTAAACTTCTCCTGAAAATTGCCAAAATGCAAGCGATTAACGCATAATTTGATACAAGTGATTAATTAATATGCATTTTGATAATAATGAATTAGTAACTAGAAGATGGGCATAACTTACCAAGAATTCCCTCAACCATCCACCCCTGATGTGATCAGGAACCTTTTTCCAAGTACCCTATGGTTGATTGAAATTGTGGAACATGAGGTCCTCAATGAAAGACTTCGTTAGCTTAATTCCCTCAACCATCCACCCCTGATGTGATTAGGAACCTTTTTCCAAGTACCCTATGGTTGATTGAAATTGCAGAACATGAGGTCCTCAATGAAAGACTTAGTTGGCTTCCGTGGCTCCAACCTGATAACAACATTAAATCATAATATTAATGTACAAATAAAGAAGGAAAAAAAGTAATTAGTAACAAAAAAACTTACTTAGTGGTGCCCAGAGGACGCATCCATATCTTCCTTGTCTCAGATCAACTAAACCCCACTGTGGCGGTTCAGCCGAAGTAGCATGTCCGGCGTGGCTTGAAGGGGACGCATCCTACAGAAGGCAAACATGTTATATGTTGTGTTAGTAACGAAAGTTATTAGCAAAACATTAAAATATATCCAATTCAATGAATGTTAGATTTAACCTGCTATGAAAAATCCAGTGGAAAAGGTGGAGTGGAAGGTATGCCACCTCTTGCAGAGTCCGTGGACATAGGTAACAATGAGAGACGTAATGGAGGAAACTCGGGTGATGACCTACGTCCTCTAGCAGAGGTAGATGATGCCCTACCTCATCTAGTGCATCTACCAGAGGACCCACGCTCTTGTTGTTTACCATCACCATAATCACTCTGGCTCGAATCCAACTGTAAAAACTTATAACATAATGTAAAAATGTTCTCTTATAAGAAATATGCAATAACAAATCGTACGTCACTAATATGCAATATCATATAGAAAAAAAGTGCAATGAAATTAATGAAAAATAATCTTGTTATATACAACATGTCATGTATTTAGTATACCAAATCGCAATAAACAATGCACAATTGAATGTAGCCGGATGAATCCTACTCTTGTACTTCTTCTTGCACACCTTCCTCTTCAGTCTCATAATCGTCAAATCCAGGCTTACTATCTGAATAATTCTTTTGTTCCTCATCATCTGATTCCTCATTCTCCACTTGGATAACAATCATCTCTAACTCTGTAGCAAAATCAAAGAGATTGCATGGTATACCATCCTCTACAAGATTTACGAACAATACATCTTCTATATCTGCTTGGAATGGATTAGATGTTTCATTTGATTCTAACTCTTTGGACTCCGGGATAATATTCGAGACTCTGGGTTTGATAACTCCTATCCACCCTTGTTGTGATGTAAGGTATGATGTATGATAAACTTGTTCAGCCTGCTGAGCAAGTATAAATGGGTCATAACCCAGTGTATATCTCGTTGACAGATGGACCTCAATATTTATCCACTCTTGTCCCACGCGGGATGTTATCAAACAAATCACATTTAAACAGAGTCAACTTCTTTTCCCATTTGTAATCCAGCTAAATTCTGACAACTAACTTTATGTGGTAGTCGCCCTCGGCACAGTCGACCCGTCCACCTCGAACACATACACCATAATTGCAACATGGCGTATTTTCATTTGCTTCAACAATTGCAAACTTATACCCGTTGATGACGTATTTTCTGAACTGGGTGATAGATCTTGCAGCTCCTGAAGATAAACCCCACACAACACCATGTGCAGTTGACAACTTTTCCACGAAGAAGTCTTGTAACCATTTCAAAAACTGAGAGGAAATGAACTGATCAAGTTCGGAATATGACTATGAAGGATTTCTTCATCGGAATATGACCATGAAGGATTTCTTGATCGCAACTTCTTGGAGAAGTAATTGTAAAAAAAATAATTAAGGCAACAACTTATAAACCATGCACAGCTGCAACATACAAATTATACTAAAAATAAATTATGTCTTACTCTATGTACGGAGCAGCCTCTGAATAGTTGTTTAGAATGTATCACTTCGCTACTTGTTTATCGCTTCCTTATTCAAGTCAACACATCTTGACAACTTGCATACACAATCATCTGGGAGTTTAAGATCTTTAACCTATCGCACAATTCTAATTTTGGGTATTTGTTCAATGTGTATGACTCTAACATACAAATTATACTAAAAATAAATGATGTCTTACTTTATGTACAGAGTAGCCTCTGAATAGTTGTTTAGAATGTATCACTGCGCTACTTGTTTATCGCTTCCTTATTGAAGTCAACACATCTTGACAACTTGGATACACAATCATCTGGGAGTTTAAGATCTTTAACCTATCGCACAATTCTAACTTTAGGTTTAGAAATATGACCCGTGGTGGACTGAACCAAAAGCAATGCAGGTCTTTTCCAAATCCCTGTATGTCCAATCCTGCGTTTGCAGTGTTCTTCATCTTGCCTTTGGTGTCTATCACAATATACAGAATTAATGAGAAAAAAGAAATATGCTTCATCCCTGACGCTTCGAGGTGTGAGTACTTTAATTCAATGTTAGAGGAGTGCAAAGTTATTGATCTTAGTTATTCAGACTCTCCCTTCACTGGCAAGGTCCCAAATAGGGCCATCTAGACAGGGTATTTAAAAGGCTTGACATAATAGTTGCTAGTACAATATGGCGTATGGAGTACAATAATGTAAAAGTAACATACTTGCCCAGAATCCACTCAGACCATAATCCAGTCTTATTCTCGCTATTTGAGGACAAGCTCGAAGGTATTAAAAGGTCATTCAGTTTCTTAGCAGCATGGTAGGACCACCTAGAGTTTAAACAACTAGTATTGTCCAAGTGGGATACTACTCTTGACTTTCCCTATATGCTCCACCGATTAGTCCCCCTCTGAAGAGTTAGAATAAACAGGTGTTTGGTAATATACATAGAAGGAAGGAAAGACTCACAAAAGGCTGTAATTAATCCAGAACCAGAAGATCCACAATGATGCCACCTGGTTACATATACAAGAAGAAAGATGTCAACAACAACTTGCAAAGGTGTTGGATGAAAAGGAAAAACTATAGTTTCAGAAGTCTTGTCAGTAGTGGATAAGAAATGGGGGTCAAAATTCTAAATATTACCATATGAGTATGATCATCAGGAGAAAATCCAACAAAAAATTTCTAGGCTACTCTATGAGTCCAACCACTGAATCATGAATACGGATGACTTGAAGCAGTTAGTGTGTAATTTTTATCAAAAGCTTTTCAAAGAAGAGATCCCAGACAGAAGGTGGTTGCAGTCTGAGAACTTATGGCCATAGTTGACCTAATAAGATAAGATTACCCTGGACAAATGTCCATCGCAACAGGATATTCAGCAAGTAGTGTTTGGAATAGGCCCTTTCAAGGTGCCGGGTATTGATGGCTTTTCAACTTTCTTTTTCAACAGAATTGGCATATGATGAAAGACCAGGTAATCAAGCTTAATTGTGATGTTTGGAATTACCCTGAACTCATTGCTACCATTAGTTCAACTCTCTTGGTTATTATTCCAAAACTGCCTGCCATATATCCCAATTCAGACCAATATCTCTTTGCGCTATCCTCTATAAAATAATCAATAAGCTCCTCGTCCAAAGGTTTAAGCCTATTATGGTATCTATGATCTTCCTATGCAAGCCAATTTTGTACCTCGACGACATATACAAGACAACATAATTGTTGTGTGGGAGCTTATTCATTCTATGCACCGGATGAGGGGAAAAAACATTTCTGGTAGTGAAAGTGGACCTCAAAAAAGCCTATGATAGACTTAATTGGAAGTTTATTTACCAGATTCTAAAAGAAATGCAACTTCGTGTATAGTTGGTAGACATCATAATGCAAGCAATATCATCTACCAAAATCAGCATATTGTGGAATGGTAATGTGACAAAGGAGTTCCAGTCATCCCAAGGAATTCAGCAAGAAGACCCCCTACCCTTTTATCTTCTTGTGATGGTAATGGAGAAACTGACCCACATTATTACCATAGTTGTCAATCAAGAGTAATGGAAACCTATTCAGGTAGGAAGATGTGGACCCAATATATTTCATCTTATGTTTGCAGCTTATGCTATTTGCAGAGGCCAATGTTGAGCAAATCCATATAATATTGAAGTTCCTAGAATTGTTTGGGGAAATATCTGGTCTAAAAGTTAGTGCGCAAAAAACCAATATTTTCTTCTCTAAGAATACTCTAGAATAAGTCATGAAAGATATAGTTAGTGCTAGTGGTTTTAAGCAAGTCAGGGATATGGGTCGATATTTGGGAGCCTTGGTGCATCAGGGATGGGCAACAAAGGACACATATAGTGTTATGGTTAAGAGAATGAGAGAAAGACTCTCAGGGTGGCAGTCAAAGTGCTTGTCATATGTAGGTAGAATCACCCTATCTCAATCAGTGTTAGCTTTGATTCCATACTATAAGATGCAATGTGATAAAATCCTGACTTTCGTGTGCATAGAAATGGAAAAAATTCAAAGGAAAATCATTTTGGGGAAGGGGGGGTTACAAACAACCAAAACCATATTCACCTTGTTAGATGATAAACGATTACAAAGCCAAAAATGAAAAGAGGTTTGAGTCTAAAGAAACTTAAGCTCAAGAATAACGCTTTCTTGGCTAAGTTGGCCTTATTGATTTACTCTCAACCTCAGGACTTATGGGTTCAAATACTGCACGCAAAATATGCCCCTCGAGGTAATGGAGCTGATTTGTTTTAGATAAGACCAGGTGCTTCCAAATTCTAGAAATACACGTATTTAGCTTGAAAAAGAATGGAGGAATGCCTAATGTGGGAAATAGGGGATGGTTCCACGATCCAATTTTGGAAGGACAAATAGGTTAGCAACTCCTTGAGGATAATGGACCATAGCTCTCACCCAATCCCTTGGGAAGTTCTAGTAAGATGGTTAATGAGTATATGGATGCTCACAGTAATTGGAGAGTAAAGGAGTTGAGGAACTGACTTTCTATAGATACAATACAAGTTATTAAAAGCGTCTTACCCCATAATCCTAGTGATGGTGATGATCGGCTGGCATGGATATGCCTTACCATCCTCGGTTATCTATTAAAGGAATTTATGAAGCTTTCTCTCGGAATCGGGTGGACTATGTAAGGTCACTAACTCTATGGAGGACAATTTGGAAATGGAAGGTTCCTCAACGGATAAGACTATTCCCCTAGAAAGTAGCACATGACAGATTACAAACAAAGAGTAGATTGCATAAAATGCAACTTGGGGATATGATTTTCCTGATTTGCAAGTAGGGTGAAGAGGACATCCTTCACTTGTTGTGAAATTTCCCGTTAATTAGGAACGTTTGGGACCAACTGCTACCACATGGGTAATGGCCCTATTTTTTCAGTGTTGATTAACATAATTGGTTAACCGAGAATATCAGGCAGATGGAAACCTTCCTTGGCATTCAATATTTGGGTGACGTGTTGGCTTGCATGGAATTGGAGGAATGCATTAAGGCACGATACGGGTGTTGTGGCAAGCATGTATAACATTGAAGCAATAAGACACAAAGCTATAAAGTTGCACAAAGCTTTCTTAGATGATGACAACATCAACATTCAGAGGACTATGTTAATATTTCAATCTAATGGTCCCCATTGGAAGAGGGATGTATAAATCTTAACACCAATGAGGCCTCGCAAGGAAGTCTAGGGTTGGCGACATGTGGAGGTTTTTTTTACAACTTAAGGGTCAATGGGTTAATGCCTTTTCATACCATGTTGGCGACTGTAATGCACTGACAGCACTGTGGGGTATGTTAAAGGGATTGCAACTAGCGTGGGAAGGAGGATGTAGAAAGCTAATTTTAGAAAGTGATTCAGCATGTGCTATCAATTTGTTCGCCACACATGTGATACAACCCGTGAGTCTCAGTTGGTGACTCGTATATTGGCAAGGCTCTCTAAATAGTGAACTGTTCGACTTATGCACACTTATAAGAAAGGAAGCACATGTGCAAATTGGTTGGCTAATTTCTCATTGGATAAGGTAAACCAGGAGGATTTTGAGACCTTTAAAACCCTCCCATGACATTTATTGGTTGTATTTCTCTGATTTGGTTTCTATTTGTAGCTTTAGACGTAATTTGATGTTTTGATTTGTTGTGTGCAGTTTTTTCCCATTACCTTACCAAATAATAATACTAAAAATCAATCGATAGTTGGAGACAAATCACAACAATATCTACTTAATGAACTCATTTAAGCAATAAATCATTTTCTTTCTGAGCACTTTAATGAACAGGAACATTGTCTTAGATCCTTGGACCTTTCCAAAACAAACCACCAATAAAACTTGGTTTTTTCTTAAGGAACTTCATTACCCAAGTCGAAAAGTCACATAGAGATCCACGACTTCCAAGACCTTTGCCTGAAAAACTTAAGCAAAATGTTTTTTTTCATAAAAAATAGATTACAGGCTTAGTTTCAGGCTTATGTTTCTGCAAAAAATTTAGTTGTGGGTCATCCGTAGTATAATTTGCCTCTCAAAAGGAGTATATACTGTTAGAAAACATAATTACTAATCCTAGGAAATCATTAAACTCACACGGTCGATAAAATAGAAAACAATAAAATACGCGAAAGAAAAAAATACTATAATATCATAAGTTTAAATAAAAACAATTCTATTATTCAAAAAAGAAAAATAGATTTAATATTGCGGGAGGGGGGGGGGGACAACACCAACCTAGATAGGGCCAAGAGTCAGTATTACGCTGGACAATTTATGCTTATTTATGAATAAATCTATAGTGCAACCGATATACTGAAGATTTGGTACAACTGCTATTCATATTGTGATACGTAAACAAAAAATATCACCTCATCTGAAAAAAAGAAAAAAATTAAATGACAGCTGAACAAATGATGTGATATTTTTTTATTCAAATGTCATAATATAAATGACAATTACACTTAATCTTCGATGCATTGGTTGTACTAAAGATTTATTCCTTATTTACGAAGAGTCAACATTCTTGCCCCACCCTGTAGGCCTTCGAATGGATTAGTTTAGGTTTAAACTATACATCTTAGTCTAAAGATAACTAGGGGATGTTAGAGAAATCAAGGAAATGAACATTGCTCAAAGACATCGATATCAACAACACCTTTATCCCAAATTAATTGGGGTCAGTGGTAGATGAACCCAAATAAAAAATACGAAAGGAATTGAAAAAGATAGAAAAAATACAAATACAAATGAAAATAAATAAATAAAAAATAGTAATAATATATATATATATATATATATATATATATATATATATAAGTGATAAAATAAAGGGAAAAGAAGAAGATGGGGGAGATGAAGAGGAAAAAAAACTAAAAAAGGATCATCTGGAACATAAGAATAACAACGGGTCTAACACTCCACCATGCTTATAGCTTTTCTCCATTTCGTTCTAAGGCACACTGTCCGCCAATCTATATCCAAATCCATTAAGTCTTGCTTTACTACCTTCCCCCAAGTAAGTTTCGATCTACCTCTACCTTTCTTTGTGTTGAGCTCTTGGTAACAAATTTTTGTTCTTACGGAGCATCCAGGGGCCTTCTCATTACGTGCACAAACCACCTCAATCTATGTTCTCTCATCTTTTCAGCCACCGGTAGTACTCCTACCTTTCGTCGAATATCTTCATTTCTCATCTTATCCATCCTCGTATAACCACACATCCACTTAACATCCTCATCTTTGTTACTCCCATTTTATGCTCATGTTGCCTATGTGCTGGCCAACATTTAACTCTATATAACATTGCAGTCACACAAAAACTCATATGCACTACGTCATTTCATTTATCCTGCTCTGATTCTATGATTTACATCCTCATCAATCTTTTCACCTTTTTGCAAAATAAATCCCAGGTATCTATCACACAAAAACTCATATGCACTACGTCATTTCATTTACCCTACTCTGATTCTATGATTTACATCCTCATCAATCTCTCCACCTTTTTGCAAAATGAATCCCAGGTATCTAAAAACATCTTTCTTGGGTACCTATTGACCAAGTAAATGCACGGGATCTTGGTCTTCATTTCTTGCCAGAGAAAACTCACACTTCAAATACTCAGTCTTGCTCCGACTTAACGTGAATCCTTTAGATTCCAATGTGTTTCTCTACAATTCAAGTTTTCTATTAACATTGCTAAAAGACAATTTAGAAAAATGACTAGAATAATAATAAGCCTAAAGAGCTGGTTGAAATGTCACATGACTAAAGAAAAGAGACTTTGTTGGCAAGCAATTATATATAACAAGAATAAGAATTTTTCCAAGTTCATCAAATATAACATTTAAAATTTTAAAATCACATGAAAACTTAAGAGACCCAAAAATTAAAATTGAGGTTGGTGTACATCATGGAGATAAGGACATCGTTACAATAGAGATTTAGATTTTAGATAACTCGATAGTTGAATAATGTTGAGATAGGTCACAAAGGATGGTATCGGTGTAGTACCATATTGAAATTGTAGAGATTTAAGTAAGGAAGGAAGAAAAAAAAAAAAAAAAAACTGAAACATAAAATTGGTATTGATTTGATATGCTATGATGTAATACAGAACATAAAATATTAATCCTAATTTATATTAATATTAAACTTTGAAACCTAACTAAATAAAAAAGAATCATAAAATATAAAAAAATTAATCTTGACGGATCATTTACGTTTCTCTACACATTCTAAAATACAATTAAAATATAACCCTACCTTATGTCACACACTATACAAAAAGTTTTTAACTTGTCACCTGTTACTTGTGTTCTTAGAAGTTGAAACTATAGAATGTTATCAAAAAAAAAAAAAACTATAGATAGTAGAGGTACCTAACAAGTCTTTCAATTATATGAGAGTAATGTTAATTTTTAAGATTGTGATTAATCGTGCAACTAGAATAAATTTATGTTCTAGGTTTTCATGGGATAAGGCTCCCTGAGTGTGGGTTTTATATTTGTTCAAAGGTAGATTTTGTTCCCAATACCTACTGCTTGAATAGGAACAGGTAGGATAGCAATTTAGGAGGGGCATAGCAAAATCACAATCCAGCGTTGTCAAGCCTGCGTTATATATAACCTTCAAATGACTCAACCCAGGAAAAATTCATGGTTCTTTACTTCGTTTACGAATCCAAACATTTCCTTATGGCTAATAAGAAACTGTTCATTATCCTTAGTAATACACATTATGTCGATGTACACTTTTGAGTTGCAAGAGTTACATGCCTTAAGCTTGTACGTACCATTAATACAAATAATTGATTTTAGCTTTATCTAGGCGACATTATAAGGAAATAATATTTTATAATTCACCAGCCAAGCTTCTCTCTTTAAAATTTTGGAGGGGGGCCTTTCTTACTGTTATTTATCCCAAACTCCGTTCCTTCTACCAAACTATTTCACACACTTCCGGATTACTCATCACTCCAGATCTTTAAATGTGCTTGTTTTCCACTGCTCACATCATACAACAGCCACATATCAATCCTAATTCTCACATCAGTCACCTTCATTATTTGAAAGAAGGGACTGAAGCATTGAGAATTTGAAACCTGAGGAATCAAATTTATAAAATTAGTCTGGATTAGACTAAATAATGTGCATATCTTTAATGTTATAATAATCTTTCTAAAAGTAACATCTGAATATGATTTCTTATCAAGGATATACGGTCAAAGAAAGTAGATGAGAACTATTCCTGAACCTGTTAATATGTTTGTGTAGTAATGCCAACAGCTCCACCAACAACCAATCATCACGTGGCTCAGCACTAATATTTCTTCCCTATATTCCCTTCAACTTATGCAACAAATGCAAAAATCACCCCTTCATGCTGGCATTATAATGAATTGCACCATCAGTGCACATGGCTGCATCAAAATCCCTTTGCCCACCGTAAGGACAAAAATAAAGATCCAGGGATCTTACAACCATAGCTTTAAAAATTACATTCTGTTTACCCAAAAAAAAAATTACCTTCAAAGCAAAGCATCTTGTAAGACATCCATCACACTTCTTAATTAGAGCTAGTCCAATAGTCCTGCTAAATAGCACAAACCAATACATTGCCAATTTGAACTTAGTCATTCCGATAGAATGATTGCAGCTTACAAAACTTATGGATAAGGTAAAATCACTTCAGGGTTCCAAATGATTGACATACGCATACAGTAGTCATGAATAACATTCCAGGCTAGCTAAAGTGATGAACATCACTTACATTTTAGTCCCCTTTTCCCCGAGAAAAAGAGGAGAGATAAATTTTGAAGTTACACAAATATAACTATTGGATATAATTAATACGTCAACTAAAGCATCTATCCCCAAACCTGATATTCCTGAGAGATGTGAGCCTGCTTGTTACTTGATAAAAGTTTCAGAAGATTATTATGAGATATACATATTTTGTATCCGAATATGCATAGCTTGATCCTAATTCTTTTATTGAATGTTCACAGTCAACATAGCACATATCTGATGCAATTGAATTTTGAATGACTTTTTCCAGCATGAAATCAGTAATTGATCGATACAACAAAACAAAAGAAGAACTTAATCAACTTGGGAGTTCAGCCACTGAAATTAAGGTATTTATAAATATCTTACATCAATATTTGCAAGTGAGTTTAAAATCAACATATGAATTTTTAACAGAGAAATATTATATTATGCATCAAACATTAGTAACATCTCAATGGGAATAAAGGAAGCTAAAAAATATGAATTATAACAGTTCTATCCTCAAGTTTCCCAGATTCTACCTTTTTTTGGGTAATCAAAGAATGACACTTGTCATGTTCAAGAAAAAAGTTATTTTTTTTTGGGGCGACAGTACAAAAATAAGCAAACCAATTTGGAGGACTTCCTCCCAGCCATTCTTTTCCTGAGTTCAGGATTCAGTAAATCATGACAAAACCTCGATGGCTAGAAGCAACAGATTATTCCAATGTATGAACACCTACTTGAAACAAAAAATCTAGCGTCTAGAGTGTATGATGAAACAAAAGCGGGAACTTAACAGGACCTCTAAGTTCTTGATTGGCTTGACCATATATGCCAACACAGATTAAAGGCTTTATCTGTCTGCCCTACGGAACACCCATGTTCATAACAAAACATGGTGTCAGTTAAGCACCATGAAATAAATAGTATTACTCAAAAGGAGACTAAAAAAAAAATTTAAATTTTAATGACTTCCCCTTTTCATCTCGGACAAAACTCCACAACCAAAGGCACATTTGGGAAGCGTAAAATGGAAAACGAATACCAACAGGAGTTGGGTGGATAGAAGCACTTTACTAGAAAGGCTTAGATTCGATTCCCTCTGCGAGCAATTCCCATTGATAGGAGATATATAACTACAAGCCCTACCTAAAGCTTATGGAATATTTGATTATTAGTTCATAGAGATCAAGCTGCAATAACAGGAGTCATCCACTGTCTTACAGTTAAGATCCTAGTTGTTCCTAGTTTAGAAGCAAGCTGTAATTCAATTATCATCCGCAATGGCATGATTAAGGAACCTTATATTTGCATTTGCAGGAGGTGGAAAAGGCATGCATAATCAAAAATACACAAGCTAGGAATAGAAGATGCAAAGATTCAAAAAGAATTCCGTTAAAAGATAGTTCGTTTATCTTGACAAATAGGTTCCAAGAATGTCAGAGTATCAGGGAGGAGGGATAGATTGAAAAGATGACTTGTCAAAGGATGACCAGGAAACTTGGAGAGTAAAATCTCCTAGCTCCATATCTGTGGGATACAACGTTACTGCTGATACAGAGCAATCCAATCTGGTGTCAAGGGAGTTCTTTTCTATACAGTAGAACAATGTTTCTTAATCCCAGGATCCACTCTGAAAATTAAGTTCCCTATGGAAGAACAAGAACTGAATTGGGTTGAAGGAAGCATGGTTCTCTTAACAAGGTTCAATCAATTAATCGCTGGTAAGAACCCTCCATTCTATTCCAGTAATATTTGTAGGTTTAAGAACATTAAGATGTGGGGAAGAGGGAGTAGAGAATGGAATCCATCCTCTCATGTCAAATGAACTAATGTGAAATGAACTCCGCCATTCGTACACAAGTCAAAGGTGAGAGAAAGAAAGCATTAAGATAGAAAATGAGGAAATGATAACGGTTGATTTATTTATGGACGACAAATATCGTTTCACATGAGGTCATGTGACATGTGAAGATCCATTCATGTAGAGAATACATCAGTTGCAAAATTCTTTTGCAGTATGTTTTTTTTTACCAAGCTCTTCTACCACAGAAAAGTCTAAAATGGATGCCTGTAAGCTCGTAATCATGCACCACAATGTACCAAAATATATTACCGATTGAACATGGGTGTGATAAATATGTGGTGTATTAAAACCCAATTAAAACCCAAAACACACATTTTTATTTCTGGCAGTTAATGTTCAACTCCACATACAATTGGGGATATGAACGAAGTCTACTTTTAACTATAAATAAATAAATGTCCTACATATTTATCTGATAAATATTTACTGCAGAGAGCTGGTCTAGCATGTTACTATTACTCTTATTTTGATTGACAAAGAAGATATTTTTTAAGAATGAGAAAAGGGATACTAAAAGGAAGGAGGGAAGGTATACTCCTTAGATTCAAATAAAGAAAAACATCTCACAAAGAAACAAAACATACCAATGAGGCATGCTCTATATAAACTTCTTCTGCTAGATTATAATGGAGAGAAACATTTAAAATATCTAGCTGATGAACAAGCTCATGATGAATTGCAGCCATAGATAAAAATAGGCGAATAAAAGCCATTTTTGCCAAAGGCAAGACTATATTCTCATAATTGGAACAAAAAATCTAAATATACCCTTTAGCCACTAGACAAACCTTTAGATGGCCAATCTTGCCATCAGTGGTAACCTTACCGGCAAAAATCCAGCCAACAACAAGCTTCCAAGAAGGAAGAGAAACCAATTCCCAAGTACTAGAGCTCTAAAGTGCATTCATCTCATCAATCATAATAGTTTATAAGGTGCCAACGAACTTCATCCCAAGTACCCAACAGACTTCAAGAACTTCATAAGTTGCCAATTTAAATGGTAGTTCTTGTTGCTCCATGCATATTTTATATTTTGTATCATTTAACTAAGGGTAATACTTTTCTTATTTTCTTATGCTGCATAAGAAAAGTATTATCTTCTATACTCACATTTTTCAAATGGGTCCCACAAGAATTTTTTTCTCACCGCCAACTCTTTTCTCTCTCTTATTTATTGTTTGGGTAGAAGATAATACTTTTCTTATACAACATAAGAAAAGTTTTACCCTTTAACTAATTAATTACGAGAGAACCTAAAAGTTATCTTAAATGCTTATTCTAATAAAACCATATCTAGTTATTCCTTTTCCTATAATATCTAATCACACCGTATTTTGTTTCTTTCATTTTCTAGTTTTGGCAAAGGGAGGCAGCAATGTTAAGACAACAGTTGCATAATTTGCAAGAAAGTCACAGGTAAATCCTTTTCTATACAACATGTGCTTATTTAAGATATGTTTTTGAAAAATTCACATAAAAAAGGAGCTGCTAGAATAGCATTATAAATTCATTAGCATATTTAACACATGTTAGTATCTTAGTAGTTAGTACTGTAGTTATTATATAGTTGTTAATAAGATTTGGGATTAAAAAAGCTATTTTATGAGATAATCACTAGTAACCAGTGTAATATATCCCTGCGTGGTCTGCTTATGACACAATCCAGCATTCTCTTTTATTTCTATAAGAAAATAAGGTGAAAGCTCTAATAAATTTGATTACCTTAAATCATTACAATAGAAATAAAATATGTCATCAAACTCCTATGGTGTAAATCATAGGCAATATGGAATTACCAGACTTATTTGAAGCACTTACATCTTTAAGGGTGTCTCTTTGCCCATGAGACTTGCTTTTGCAGAAGTTTATGTCTATGGTTTTTCTTTAGTGTCTTTTTTCATTTATTAAGTTTTGAAGGGTATTCTTGGTTAAGTGGGCAGGGGATACCTAGATCAATGAACTAAGTGACAAATCATAATAATGGGCTTAACATTACATCTTAACCTAAAACCTTAAAGCAATGAGTTCATGAGTCTTTCAACTTATATGGTCTTCACTTGACCTATTCTTATCCAATTTTAGATTTCGCCACTCACGCTTGAATTTCCAACATTCTCTCCCTCAAGTGAAGCCTTTTAAAATATTCATGGGATTACCGACTAAGAGCCAAATCTTGGCCAATGTATCCACAACATTAGTTAGGTACAAACCCAACCACCATTTCCACATACTTGGTCAAACCAAACCATTGGCCCCAACATCACTATTAGGCATGCAAGTGGGGGGCCTAAAAGTCAGAAATACTTTTCCATCAAATGGGCTAGTTTTGACATGCTCCCTACCATTATCAAAGTTCCCATTCTGGGATACTGTGCATCCACAAAAATCTAACCCTAACCTACCTTCATTCAACTCCAAGCTACCGAGCTTGCCATAAACACAGCCAGAGACCCACCAAATGAATCCACAAAAATCTAACCCTAACCTACCTTCATTCAACTCCAAGCTACCAAGCTTGCCATAAACACAGCCAGAGACCCACCAAATGAATCATCCTCTGGCTAGCAACTACCTCTGATACCCATCTTTCACATGCTAGTGAAGTTCTTAGTCTGGCCGTCTTTCAAGCTGTCATTAGTAACCTTCTTCAGCTTCTCTCAATCTCTTTTACCCAAATATGCCCCTATCTGGTCCAATTGGTATCTACTCGTCCATTTCTCCTTCCCAAATAACAAGCATGAGCCTTTCCCGACAACCTTTTCTCACCCTTTGATACACATCCACTACCATTTTCCTGAAACAAAGAACACCCATCACTCTACCACCATCCATAATACTTCCCAAGTTACCTTGGTCGTCATGCCCCTCACACCTAATGTTCTACCTATTACACATTGTACCTACCTTACCAAAGTTTGATTAGTGGGATGATGGGGACTTTCTTATGACATAATTGTTGGATTTTGCGACACCATAGGTCGATTGGAATTGCATATATGTTCTTACACGCGTGTTATTTAGGATATCCTTTGTAAGACTTACTCCATTAAATAGGACATAGTCACCTGTTATGAGTTAAAAACTACGATTTTTTCCCACCAAACAAGGAACCCTCTCAGTTACAAATTACCATATGATCCTTAATGGGTCATATTGAGCAAGATCAATATTAGGATATGAAAATGGAGTGCCCATCTTTGAGTTCCTTTCAAGTTTAAACTTATAGTATGATCCTATTAGGTTTCAAATTCTAGGAAAGGAGAAACTTCCCTCTCTTTCTAAGGTGTTCCATACTTTTCAAGGAGAAGAAAGTTGAAGGGTTGTCGTGCTTAACGAAAAACCCAATGATGGTTCACCTTTGATCACTAACGAGTAATGAGTCCACGAAGCCAGATTCTTTGACTTCTAGTGAGGGAGAAACTTCCCTATATGAGGTGTTCCACACTATTCAAGGAGAAGATAGTTGTAGGGTTGTCGTACTTGTTCACCTTCAATCACTAGTGAGTCCACAAAGCCAAGTTCTTCTTCTTCCATGGGCAAAGACCTACTAGAAGGAGTATGGTATTAGTTAAATGTAAAAGAATATGTTGTGTATTGATCTGTGTCAGGGAGTTACAATATATAGAGACCCTAATGGGCTTAAGTGTAAGGCCCAAACCTAATCCAAACCTAATCCTAATACAGTCAGAATACAGTCAGACTATTTACGGATAAGACAGAATCCAATCATATCTAATCAAATCTAATCATATTATATCTAATATTCTAACACTCCCCCTCAAGCTGATGCGTATATATTATGAGCACCAAGCTTGTTACAAATGTATTCAACCCGAGGACCTCTAAGAGCTTTAGTGAAAACATCTGCTAGTTGATTAGACGAGTTGACAAAAGCTGTCTTGATTTCTCCTGACTGAATCTTTTCCCGAATGAAGTGACAATCAATCTCTATATGTTTGGTCCTCTCATGAAAAACAGGATTAGAGGATATATGTAGCGCAGCTTGATTATCACAGATGAGTGTCATGGGTTGTTTCTGTTCACAAAGATGAAGCTCCTGAATCAACTGCTTTAACCAGATCAACTCACAGGTAGTATTTGCCATTGCACGATACTCAGCTTCTGCACTAGATCGGGAAACAACAGATTGTTTCTTGCTTTTCCATGAGATTAAGTTTCCTCCGAAGAAGACACAATAACCAGAAGTAGAGCGTCTGTCCGAGGGTGATCCTGCCCAATCGGCATCTGAGTAACCACAAATTTCTGTATTTCCCTGGTCCGAATACAACAAACCTTTTCCTGGTGCTCCTTTGATGTATCGGAGGATCCTCACAGCAGCATCCCAATGTGAATCACAAGGGGAATCAAGGAACTGACTGGCCGTACTGACAGCGAAAGAAATATCTGGCCTAGTCACAGTAAGATAATTGAGCTTCCCAATCAGCCTTCGATAACGTCCAGGATCAGATAACGGCTCCCCCTGTCTGGGCAATAACTTAACATTAGGATCCATTGGTGTATCAACTGGTTTACACCCCAACATACCAGTTTCCTCTAGGATATCCAAGGCATACTTCCTTTGACAGATAGAAATGCCCTGTCTAGATTGCGCCACCTCAATTCCCAAGAAGTAACGCAGCTTCCCAAGGTCCTTTGTTTGAAATGCGCTGAATAAATGTTGTTTTAACTGATGGATTCCGTCTTGATCACTTCCGGTGAGGATGATGTCATCAACATAGACTAACAAATAGAAGCACTTGTTAGGAGATGTAATCCTATAGAATACATAATGGTCAACTTTACTGCGAATTAGGCCAAACGCCTGTACAACAGAACTGAAGCGACTGAACCATGCTCGAGGAGACTGCTTGAGACCATATAAGGATTTTCGAAGACGACATACCTTCCCAGACTCCCCCTGAGCAACAAAACCAGGTGGTTGCTCCATGTAAACTTCTTCTTGTAAATCACCATGAAGAAAGGCATTTTTGATGTCAAGTTGAAGGAGTGGCCAGTGACGAACAGCAGCAAGGGCAAGAAATAGGCGGACGGACGCCATCTTAGCGACGGGAGAGAATGTATCGCTATAATCAAGGCCAAAGATTTGAGTAAAACCCTTGGCAACTAGGCGTGCCTTGAGACGATCAACATGGCCATCAGGTCCAACTTTCACAGTAAACACCCAGCGACAACCAACTATAGACTTCTCTGGAGGAGCAGAAACAAGGTCCCAAGTGCCATTGGTATGAAGTGCGGTCATCTCATCAAGCATCGCTTGGCGCCATCCTGGATGGGAAAGTGCTTCACCTGTGGTCTTAGGAATAGAAACAGAAGAAAGACTAGAAACAAAGGTGAAATGAGGAGCAGAAAGGCGATCATAGCTCAAGAAGGTATAAAGAGGATAAGGGTTACGAGTAGTACGTGTACCTTTTCTTTGAGCAATGGGAAGAGCCTCTGGTGAAGGATCCGGAGGGGAAGAATCAACTGCAGAGGGCAATGAGTCAGCAGGGGTCGAGTCGACTGGAGGTACTGTCTTACGACGCTGATAAGTGAGAAGTGGACGGTCCTTAGGTACTGGAGCAATAGGTGATGGCTTATCTGGAGTAGAAGCACCTGCATCTGGCAAAGACAAGTCAAGAAAAGGAACAGGAAGAACATGATCAACCTGTGACAATGGAGATGGGATAGAATTAAAGGGTTGTTGATCAAAAAAGGTGACATCCGCGGAAACTAAGTAACGCTTGAGGTCAGGAGAGTAACAGCGATAACCCTTTTGAAGACGAGAATAACCAAGAAAAATGCATTTAAAGGCTTTGGATGTTAACTTATCCTTACCAGGAGTGAGATCATGAACAAAACAGGTACAACCAAAAACATGTGGGGATAGAGGAAAGAGAGGAACATCTGGAAACAATAAGTTATGAGGAATATCATTATTAAGCACAGATGAAGGCATGCGGTTGATGAGAAAGCAAGAAGCAAGGACTGCATCAGCCCAGAAGTGAAGAGGAACATGCATGTGAATAAGAAGAGTTCTGGCAATCTCAATGAGATGTCTATTCTTACGTTCAGCTACTCCATTTTGTTGTGGAGTGTGAGGACAAGTGGTTTGGTGTAAAGTACCCTGTGTGGCTAAGAAGTGAGAAAAGTCAACAGAAACATACTCCTTAGCATTATCACTACGTAAAATACGAATAGAAGCACCAAATTGAGTATGAATTTCAGCAGAAAACTTTTGATAAATAGAAAACAACTCAGAGCGGTTTTTCATTAAATAAATCCAAGTACAACGGGAGAAATCATCAATAAAGGTGACAAAATACCGAAAACCTAAAATAGACACACTACGACTAGGACCCCAAACATCTGAATGAATAATGGAAAAAGGAGCATCAGCTCGTTTATTGACTCGATTAGCAAAGGAGGAGCGTATGTGCTTTCCTTGCTGACATGACTGACAATCTAAAGTTTGAAGACCGGATAAAAGAGGAACCATCTTCTGCAATTTCGCAAGACTAGGATGCCCGAGACGACTGTGGATGAGTTGTGGAGATTCTGTGAGAGAACAAGCAACTGAAGGACTCGGCACATCAAGGTAGAACAGACCCCGTGACTCACGGCCCACTCCAATCATCTTCCCCGTACCCGGGTCCTGCACAGAAACAGAATGGTTTGAGAATGTGACAATACAATTAAGAGAATTGATCAATTTACTAACCGATATTAAATTATAAGGGATGTGAAGAATGTAATAGACAGATGTCAAGGTCAATGAGGAGGTTGGACAGATTTGTCCAATCCCATGAACGGGGGCCTTAGTTCCATCAGCAAGAGTAAAAGAGGGTAAATTATTAGAATATGTAAGGGAAGAAAAGAGTTCCTTATTACCACAGAGGTGATCAGTAGCACCTGAGTCAAATATCCAAGGACCAAGTGATGCAGAATGAGAAACACAAGCAACAGGATTACCAGTTTCTGAAGCAGAGGCCTGAGATTGAGGAGAGGACTTCCTGAGAAGGGCCTGGAATGCTGCATATTCTTCAGAGGAGAGAGAGACTGAACCATTTGAAGCAGTATCCGATTGAGCTACATTAGCAGCAAAAGAAGGTCGCATGTGAGGATACTTGGTGTAGCAGCGTTCCTCATAATGACCAAGTTGCTGACAGTAATGACAACGAGGTCGCTGACCACGTCCGACTGGACCTCCTGGGCCTCCTGGGCCACGACCTCCTGGGCTACGTCCTCCTGGGCCTCCTGGGCCTCTACCACGACCACGTCCGCCTCCAATATGCCCGCGAAAATCAGTACGAGAAACTAGAGCAGTAGAATCAACAGCAGAAGACGATGCAGGAGCAGATTTCTTATTCAAATTCAGAAGACGCTGATACGTCATGGATAGATCAGGCTCTCCACTAGTCAAGATAGTATCACGAACATTATCATATTCTTCGGGAAGGCCAGAAAGTGTGGCAACCATAAAGAGACGTTCCACCTGTTTCCGATATGCAGTAGCATCAGTAGGGTAAGGCAGCATATCCAAATATGCCTGCATCAAAGAGCGACTCTTGCCAATATATGTCTCCATTTGAATGTCGGATGATTTGCTCAATTCCATAAACTGAGAGATGATGAAATAGAGCTGCTGAACATCATTAGTGTAGAGGTTTTTTGCTTCCTCCCACACTTCAGTGCAAGTTTGAAATGAATAAAAGATATCCAAGACAATCGGATCAATGGATTGCCAGAGGATACTCAGAAGTTGGTTGTCAATCTTTTCCCAATCAGACTTGTCCTCCTTAGGGACATAAACTTAGACCAGTACTCTTACAATCTCCCGTAAGCTGGAATTTACTAAACTCTCAATTCACTACAAATAAACACACTTAAAACAACCCAAAAATATAACGCGGGCTCCAAAAACCATAGTTGGAAAGGCAACTTAGCAAAATAAGGCATCTTGCTAGAGGATGGAGAGCAACACAAAAAAATGAAAGGTGTTACAAAGATAACACGGCTAGAAGATGGCTGGAATGATGAAAAACATGGTTCAAATGATGCATGGCCATGAAAATACACTTGGAAAGATGAACAGAATTTTTAGGCGAGGCAGTCATGGATAGCATGGCCCAAACTTCTCCAAATTCAAATAATATCAATAACGTTAGGAGTAAGACAACTGTTGAAGCTTAAAAACTTAAAAGAGTTTGGAAGAAACATCACAAGGAGTGAAGTTCTAGCTTCAAAGGAAACTAATAAGGATCTAGAAGCCAGGTCTTATAAATATATTAAACATAATTTAACTCTCCAAGTAACAACCCTTGAAAAGACAATAAAAGTGTTAATAAAATTATATTTACGAAATACAAAGAGCTGGAAGCATCTCTCGGATATTGCCAAATAGTAAAAATACCAAAAAGAAAAAGTACTGTCTGGATTATATACTCATTGTCTCTAGCCTTGATAGTTAACACAATTATTTAAGGTTCCAGTCCAAAAGTTTTATTTTTGCATGACTTAACAGGCAAATGCTGGGGGAAGAACTGTCAGGTTTGACTGTAAAAGAATTACGGGGTTTGGAGAACCAACTGGAAATTAGCCTTCGCGGTGTCCGTATGAAAAAGGTTTAGATTTTCTATCCAAAATGCAGTGCTCAAGTTTGATGCTGATACAATAGTTAACATAAGATTAACTAATGCAGGATCAACTTTTAATGGATGAAATAGAGGAATTAAATCGAAAGGTCAGTCTTGAAACAAAGAAACTAATACTTTCACTATTTTCATTAATTGAAATATTTGTTTTATTTTCTGCAGGGAAGCCTCATACACCAAGAAAATGTGGAACTGTATAAGAAGGTAAACCTAATTTGTCAGGAAAACGTGGAATTGAAAAAGAAGGTATTGATTTGGATAGCAATACAAACTAAAATAATCTCTTAAAACTTACAATCCACTTGAGGACAACCTTGCTAGGTGTTTTATTCTGAACGATAAAACTGAGTTTCACTAACCCAGGTCTATGGAACAAAGGATGAGAATGGAACAAACAGAAATTCTGTCCTTTCAAATGGTCTAGGCATAGAAGAGGATTTGGAAGTACCTGTGAATCTCCAACTAAGCCAGCCACAGCAACAACATTACGAGTCACCTTCAGGAACTACAAAATTAGGGTATGATCTTTGATCATTTAGTTGGTAGACCATTGATCATGATGCAAATGCATTGACATCAGATTTGTTTTGATTGCAGCAGATTGCAATTGCACTGACGCATTTACAGGAGATAAGTGCTTCTTGATTGCTATCAAGAAAAATGGACTCATTTTAATTTTGATGCTTTCCTATAAACAATGTGGCATATATGCCACAAACCATTTAGCTCAAAGATTTTTATTTGAAATTATATATGAAAAAAAAGCAACTCTAGCATGTATGCGATAAACAACGAAGTATCTTAATGTGAAGTTAAGACTGAATTAATTAAGAAATTCTCCAAATTGATGTGTAATTTTACTTGTATTTTTGTGTTAAAAATTATTACTGGCTACAAATAGGTGACAAATACCAGAATAAAGCATCGATGATGTTATCAATATATCAGATAAAATCAATGCATATAGAGTACAAGGATTCCAATTTCCAGAAAAAGGAAATACAATATTGCTGCAAATGAATTCAAACATCAATGCATGAAAAAAAAAAAAAACCTACCACAAGTAGGATGCATCCAAGTATAATATCAACCTAAATTTCACTTAAAAGTCATAAATGAAAGATTAATATTACCCAACTTTTTGTACTTCTTGACTCAATTTCATTTAATCGTAAAAAGGGGGACAAAACCACAGCACTTAAAAGAGCTCTACAGGGGACATACTAGATGTAAAATTATTAATGAGCCTTCATCTAACAGCAACTAAATGTACAGAGTTTGAAGATATTTAATGGTATAAAAAAAGAATCTAGAATAAAATTTCTTTCTTTCTATATATATATATATATATATATATATATATATAATTTTATTGACATACCTAAATCCAATAAAATTGAATCATTCAGATCCAAATGGTCGCTTCAGGCATGAAGAGAAAACCAACAAAGTGAAGAATGTTGTACCATCCGTGGCAAACTTGAGAGCACCCGCCAATAATAATTAAGAACCACATTGTACTCCAGATAAATTGCGTTAGAGTAAAACTGAGGCAAGCGCTTTGCAGTTTCCCTGTCAACATAGAAAAACCAGTAATTGAATAATGTTGTGATCGTAATACTCAGTTTAGCTATTGTATAGTAATAACAGAGATCTATGACAGAGTACAATCTATATGACCATTACAAACATGTTTCCCGTTGCAAATGATCACCAGATTTCAGTAAAAAAACAAAAACAATACAAAAGTTTAAGATGCTAACTTTCAAGAAAAATGAAGTTGCTAAAAAGCAAAATTCACTATTGAGGGGGTGGGCAGAGAAATATAAACACAAAGCAGGTTGTTCAAATGCTAATCATCCTCTATTCACAGAAACATGCATGAAAAATACTTTAAATTAGAACTTGGTTAGAAATAGGAAATATATATATAATCTCATCATATACAACGAGATACAAATTCTATCATGATAAATCCCTTAACATGTTTACCGCCTCAGTTTGGTGTTCAGCACATTGATCCTTTACAGAGTCCTATTCATAGGAATTGAAGAGCTCTTCTATATTCATGTTCTTCTTGGTTCTTTCCTTTTGTTTGTGGGTGCGTCATATAAGGATAAAAGATGAAAGGATGGAATTCTCTCATTTCCATTGCAATAGAAAGTTACAATATACACAAATGTTGGGTATCTTTAACCATGATTTTAGGACCCAAATCTGGTACCTAAAAATCAGAATAGGATCTGTCTAGGATTTACCAAATTACATATAATAAATAGCTATTGAATATAAGGAACCAAGAGGCATATACTAAAATATGTGTATTTAATAGAGACTATTATATAATTGAATGAAAAGGAATTACAAAAAGATATATATGATGTGGAACTTCGTACCTCACACTAAATTACTCTATTTTTAATACTCTCCCTTAAGCCGAAGCATATAAATCATATGCACCAAGCTTGGTGCATATAAATTGTAAAAAATAAATCCGCTTTTACTGAATTTTTTCTTTAATATGAATTTGAATTTTGAATTTACTTCTATAGATAGGATAGTGCTTATGACTCATTGTTGAGTCATTCTTATTCATTTTTTTCTACTCATTTACACTTGTATAAATACTCTCTATCAGTGTAAATCAAATGCATCAATTTAGAAAACCCTTTTTTATATTTCAATATGATATCAATAGCTAAGTTATGTTCCATCCATAAAAAACCCTAGTTCTGTCCTAGCCAAACACGCACTATTCTTACCGGAAACACTGTTCGTGCACTATTCACGTGTCTGCCAAAACACTGTTCACGTCAGACACATTGTTCAGGCCGGAGACACTATTCATCGAATCTCATACAATTTGTTTTACCGTACTCAAGCCATTTAGAAATCCCCTTCAACATAACAACCCATTTGCGAAGGCCTAATCAAACACTGAGCAGAACCTAGCCCGTCATCACTATCAAACTCCGTCGGAAAAAAATTTCTGCGACTTTTCTGGGTAAACTTTGTCTTCTCTCATGGCTTCACCCGTCTCTTTCGTTGCGCCCAACACGCCATCATCTGAAAAAGTTTGGCATTGCAAATCACCAGTTCCGTGGCCCAACAAGGTACTGCCTTTCATGTCCATAATAACACTCGTTGGATTCTTGATTCTAGTGCATCCTATCACATGACAGGTAATCCAACATTATTTTGCTCTTACACTCCATGTTATGAGACCTCTTGAGTAAAACTAGATATGGAAGTTTTTCACGAATCGCAGGAAAAGGGTCGGTTAAACTTTCTTGAGGATATTACGTTGACATCTGTTCTATATGTGCCGACTTTGGCGAGTAACCTCATTTCTATTAGTAAATTTACATTTGAGCTTGATTGCGTTATAACGTTCTCAATTCATGGGTGTGTCTTTCAAGAACAGGGCTCGGAGCGGATAATTGGCAGTGCTAGAGAAGACAGAGGAATTTACTACTTTGAGCAGCTAACTCTTGTTAGTTAAGACTCAAGCTGCCTTCGTGGAAAGCTGCCTCTGTGGTTTCATTTCTAATTCTAGTACTGACGCAATGTTGTGGCACCGTAGATTAGGCACCCTAATTTTCATTATCTTCAAAAGTTGTTACCAGATCTTCTTTATACTAGTAATGACAGTTCTTTCTCTTGTGATATTTGTCCACTTGCAAAACACTCTCGAGTCACATATCCTCCCATGACTTATAAAGAATCTTCCCCTTTCTCCCTTATCAAGTGCTCGGTGGTTTATCACCTTCATTGATGATCACACCAAGGTTTGTTGGGTATCTGAAAGAAAAATCAGAAAGTGCACTAGTCTTCCATAGTTTTTATGGCATGATACAAACTCAATTCTCTACCTCCGACAAAATCCTTCGTACTGACAATAGTAAAGAATACTTTAATTCAGTCCTTGGAGATTATCTCTACGCCATGGCATTATTCATCAAAGTTCATGTCCTAACACTCCTCAACAAAATGGTATAGCTGAAAGAAAAAATAGTCACCTTCTTGAAGTTACTTGTGCCCTTATGTTCACTATGAATGTTCCCAAATACTTATGGAGGGAAGCCGTCCTTACGGCCTCTTACCTAATCAACCAAATGCCTTCCCCTGTTCTCAAATTTAAGTTTCCCTTATCATGTCTTCTCCACACCTTTCCTTCCATTTGATCCATCTCTTATCTTCCTCCTAAAGTTTTTGGTTGTTTCGTGTTTGTCCACATCCTTCCTCATCACAGGTCCAAACTTGACCCAAAGTCTCACAAGTGTGTCTTCGTTGGATATTCTCTTACTCAAAAAGGGTACAAATGTTATTCCCCGTCTTTGCGTAAAGTCTTTGTCTCTATGGATGTTTCCTTCTCTGAAACATAATCCTACTTTACCTAGTCTTCTCTTCAGGGGGAGCCTCTAAGTGAGATTGAAGATAAGTTTGACCCTCCTACTGAACCCACAGTGTTACCTCTTCCACAGTCCCCACATCCAGAAACAGGGGGAGATGTTGAGTTGCAGCAACCATTGCTAATCTATAGCAAGAGGGTGCCTCCTCAAAGTGTAAACAATCCAAAACCTCTACACTGCCAGGAATCCACTTCAGAGTCCAGTTCCAGCAGTCCAAAATGTCCACACACTGATGACCTGCATCTTTCGATTGCTTTATGGAAAGGTACTAGATCTTGCACTGCCCATCTTATTTCTCAACATATCTCCTATGATAATTGTCTCCAGGTTTCCGTGCATTCAACACAGTGTTGGATAGCACAAGAATACCATGCAACATTCATAAGGCTTTTGAGGATCCCAAATAGAGGAATGTTGTACTTGAAGAAATAGATGCCCTAAAAAAATGGAACTTGGGAAACAATGGAATTACCAAGAGAAAAACAAACAGTGGGATGCAAATAGGTATTTAATGTTAAATTTAATGCTGATGGCAGTATCAACAACAACAAGGCAAGATTGGTAGTAAAAGGATTCACTGATAGACTATCAAGAGACCTTTGCCCCAGTAGCCAAGCTCAACATTATCCGAGTTCTTCTATCCTTGGCAGCTACTCTTGATTGGCCCCCACCATAGTTGAATGTGAAAAATGCATTGTTGAATGGTGACCTACATGAGGAAGTGTACATGGATCCTGCACCCGGTTTTGAGAAAGGAGTTGGCCAAGTGGTAACATGAAAAAGTCTCTCTATGGGCTCAAACAATCTCCTAGATAATGGTTTGAAAAGTTCACTCAAGCAGTCAAGGGGAAGGGATTCCTACAGGCACAAACTAATCATACCCTTTTCCACAATCACTCAAAAGATGGTAAGGTTGCTATTCTTATAATTTATGTGGATGACATAATTATTACAGGTGACGATCATGAAGAGCTAGATTCCTTAAAAAAAATATCTAGCAAATTAATTCGAATTGAAAGACCTTGGAGCCCTCAAATACTTTCTTTTCATGAAAGTGGCACGAAGTAAGATTGGGATCACTATCTCCCAGAAAAAATACATCCTAGACCTGCTTCAAGAAACAAGTATGTTGGGATGCAAACCAGTTGACACCCTTATGGGACCCAACATTAAGTTAGAGATCGAGATAGGAAAGAAGTGGATAAGGAACAATATCAGAGATTCATTGATAAATTAATCTATTTGTCTCATACCCGACCTCACATTGCTTTCGCCATAAGTATGATCAGCCAATTTATGCACTCACCAAAGGAGAAACATCTTGAGGCAGTCTACAGGGTCTTGAGGAATCTCAAAAATACACCTAGTAGGGGACTCTTCTTTAACAAGCAATACAACAGGATGATTGAAATCCACATTGATGCTGATTAGGCAGGTTCTGCAGTTGATAGAAAATATACTATAGGACATTGCACCTATGTATGGGGCAACCTAGTAAAATGGAGAAGTAAAAAGCAAACTATTGTTGCAAGGAGTAGTGCCGAAGCAGAATTTAGAGGACTCGCCCATGGAGTCTGTGAAGGAATTTGGCTAAGAAGACTTCTTGAAGAATTGAAGATCAACTATTCTTTACCCATAAGGCTGTATTGAGCTAATAAGGCAGCTGTAAGCATTGCTCAGAATCCAGTTCATCATGACAGAATGAAGCATGTTGAAGTCGATCGTCACTTCATTAAAGAAAAATTAGATGATGGAAGTGTGTGCATGACATACATCCCCACCAAAGAACATATCTTCACTAAAAGTCTGCATAGACCAGCATTTGAAGATCTGATTGGCAAGTTGGGAATGATCAATATCTATCTCCCAACTTGAGGAGTGTAAAAAATCTTTCCGCTCTTATTTCCTATTAATTAGTGATTGATTTTTACCTTTAATAGGAATTTGAATTTTGAATTTTCTTCTATAGATAGGATAAAGCTGATGACTCATTGCTAAGTCATTCTTATTCATTTTTTTTTTCTCATTTACTCCTGTATAAATACTCTTTATCATTGTAAATCAAATGTATCAATTTAGAAAACCTTTTATTTTCAATATAAATCATATGCAACTAATCTATTCGAGGACCACTCAAAGTCTTAAAGAGTCACTTGATTGTTTGAGTTAACTCTCGAGAAAGCCTTTTCTCTAACGAAATGACAATCTATCTCAATGTGCACGGCTTTTTCATGAAACATTGGATTGAAAGCAATATGCAAAGCAACTTGATTATCGCAAATGAGAGTTGTTGGTCCAATGTCTCCAAACTTGAGCTCCTTGAGCAGTTGTTTTAGCCAGATGAGTTTACAAGTAGCTTTGATGTAAGATAAATACATAGGGTTTCATAGAAGTATTTGATATCTTCCTTTGTTGACCGGAGTACCTTTTTGCTTTAGACTTACTCCAAGTTGAATCCACGAGTGAAAAGGGGGGAGAATTGTGGTTAACTTCTATTGCAAGAAACTTTAAATTTCAAAACCCTTTTTCAAGAAACTTCACCAAAACATGATAGAAAAGAAATTGAATCTTTTTCAACCCAAAAACAAAATCAATGTAATCCAAAAAAAATCACATACAGAGATATAACAGCAAAAACTAAAAAGGATAGGGAAAAGAAGAGACGACACCAAGATTTATCCTAGTTCACTCTCAAACCACTAGAGAGAAACATTCAAACCGAGGTCGATCATCCACTAAACTCAAAACTTCCAACCGGTGTCTGAGAAACCGATGTACAATGGAATTTCATAAGAATATTAATCAAACCTTTAATCAATCTCAACCTATACATCTGTTGAGATATATAAAATCATTAATGTAGCCTCACCCAACAACTTAAGCTTTTGGGTTGAATTGGTTTTTTACATGGTATCAGAGCCTCGGAGTACCGGGTTCGATCCTCACCACCCCCCACTTTCTTTCTAGTAGAATTTCTTTCTTCGCACAGATAGGTGGGCCTGTGCATTGTCCACCCTTCAAGCCCTGTAGGCTTTCGTGTGAGGGGGCGTGTTGAGATATATAAAAGCCATTAATGTAGCCTCATTCAACAGCTTAAACTTTTGGGTTGAATTGGTTCTTTACATGGTATCAGAGCCTTGGTGTACCGGGTTCGATCCTCGCCGCCCCCTACTTTCTTTCTAGTGAAATTTCTTCCTTCGCACGGGTAGGTGGGCCTGTGCATTGTCCACCCTTCAAGCCCAGTGGACTCTCGTGTGAGGGGGCGTGTTGAGATATGATGAGACCTTAGGATGCACCACCCCAAAAGCTAGCTCAAAGGGTGGGAGTGCCCAAGGCCTTATAAACTCCACATTAGTTGCCCATACAACCAATGTGAGACTCCAAGTCCCATACCTTGCAAATAGAACCCCAACATTCCACCACGCTTCCCTAGTGCGTGCCTCCACGCACAACTCCACGTGATAGATGCTCTGATACCATTTGATGAGACCTTGGAATGCACCACCCCAAAAGCTAGCTCAAAGGGTAGGAGTGCCCAAGGCCTTATAAACCCCACATTAGTTGCCCATACAACCATACCTTGCAAATGGAACCCCAACATTCCACCACGCTTCCCTAATTTGATGAGACCTTGAGGTGCACCACCCCAAAAGTTAGCTCAAAGGGTGGGAGTGTCCAAGGCCTTATAAACCCCACATTAGTTGCCCATACAACCAATGTGGAACTCCAAGTCCCATACCTTGCAAATGGAACCCCAACAAGATATATAAAATCATTAATGTAGCCTCACCCAACAGTTTAAGCTTTTGGGTTGAATTGGTTCTTTACAACATATATAGGATCACTCCAAACCACCAAATCGAATTCCAGCAGTAAACAAATGTCAAACATATGTAGAGCAGCCTCTCTACGTTCACAATTACAACAGAAATCAAAAGAAACGATGAAGAGAATAAGATTATTGAGTTTTACTCTCAAGACATCCAAATAAGCCTAAATGAGGATTAATCTTTGAATTTTCAATAATATTTTGTTTTTTTCTCTTGATTCTCGATTAGAGACTCTTATTACATGTTTATATAGGAGTCCTATAAGTTGGTATCTCTGCATGGGCCAATAGCTCATTGAAATCGTAGAGAGCAATCTTCCCCAAAGATGCAAACATAGAGTCATCAATATTTCGAGGCGCAATGACGCTCATAAGGTTATGGAAAACCTCATAAGGGGCCGAGTATCACTAGTATAAAGGACTTTAGCTTGCTCCAAGACAGATTTGCAAGTGACGTGACCACAAAAGATCAATTTCAAAGATGAATGAATAGTGGATTTTGTGAGGCTGCTGATTTGGGCATCAATCTTAGTCAACCTAGGGCGCTCAATTGTAGACATAGAATCAGCCTTTGTGAAGAGGTGGTCCGCATAGGCTTGCACCTTAAGCCAAAGTTTAATATTCAAAGTCCATTTGTCATAGTTGCTGCCGTCCAACATGCTAGCGGAGAGAGGGGCACTGACATAGTTGGTGAATGGGCAGCAGATAAGAAGGCTGGAGGATTGGAGGGTGTAGGCACCCTGGGCATTGTGCGGGTTAAGGTGGATTACACCAAATGATAAAACTATGTGTCAATGTTTTAGGAAAATAAATGTGGTCAGATATCTCAATCAGATTCCACAGCGGTTAATTCCATTACTCTTTAAGTTATTTTCCGCCAACTTTTATAACAAATTAGATTAGATAGGCGGACTGCAAGAGATAGCTCATGCGGTCAGCATATATTTTTTTTAATGATAACGATAGAACAAATCACAAACCAGGGTGTTATTCAATTTTTACCGTAAAACAAAGGTACAACTAAAGGTCACATTAATTATAGACTATACTACCTCCAGTTAGACCCAAAGGAGTATTCCCTGACGAAATACCAACCTCGCTGTTGAAAATAAAGAAAAGGATAATAGCAATAAGTGAGGGAACAAAAGTTAGGACATTCGACAGGGTAAAGTTTACGTTTAATTGATGTAATCAAAACAACGAACCAACAAAGTCCACTACTGAAGTAAAGCTGTACTGAAAATTGCAAAAATAAAATAGAATAACACGATTAACTAAACAAAAAGAACTAAACTGGCATGCTCCGTACTTGTAGTTTCTTGGTTAATTGAGGTTCACCCTTGGTATTCATCCTGTTCGGGCACTGTCGGACCCAAAACAGAGATGGCTCTCCTAAGACTATTTTTTCTATTAGTAGGACTTGAACTCGAGACCTCGGGAACACAAACTCCTTACCACTTGTGTCAAGGGTGTTTGGTGAGATCCAAACGGACGTCTCCGTCAAAAAGTGGTCACTGTTCCCGTAAAAACCATCTCAGGGAAACGTAGATAACATGAAAATACACGGCTAAGTGTACGACAAGAAGAAGCACCACGTGATACCACGACAATGCCAAAAATAAACTAAAACGATTATTCTATTCGCTAAAAAGCATCTAAAAGAGGAGAATTCTTAGAACAGATAGGTTTCGGTGCAATTAGGATAACCGTTTTTATATTTTACCTTTATTTTCTCGCAGCTTCTCGGCAACCAAACGGATTCAGGAGATGAAAACACCTCGCCGGTGTAGGCGGAGACTAAAATCCCGGCAACTCGTTCCATGAAAGCGGAATCCACGATACACCGAAGCTGCGAGTAGCGAATCAAGCAAGCAAGGTTGGCGCATGAATGCAGCTCAGAAACGAACTTCGATGAGAGAATCGGTTCCCGCGGGGAAACTGAGAATCGGAATCCATTGATAGATCGGAGAAAACCAGAAAACGAAGCATGTTGAATATGGGATCTGCTTCAGAGGATTCAAATTACGATTGATAGCCTGTAACCGTATGCAGAAGGAGAAAGAGAGAGAGAGAGGAATAGAAGAAATGCGAGAAAGAGGTTTGATGTCACATAGAAAATATCTGGAGCGACCGGGTATTTTTTAATGGGAAAATATATTTATTATGGATATTAGAAAGGATCGCATCATGATATATATTTTTTCTTTTGCATTCCATAGAATTAGTTGAAGAAAGAAAAAAAAAAATATTGCAGAGAAGAAAGAACATATTATTATTTTATTTAAAATGATATAAAAAAAATTAATTAAAAACAAAAATGTTTTATTTAAATAAATAATTGTGGGATTTGCATCGATCCCCTAACTTTAATTATTAGAGCTTTACGTTAAAAAATATTATTAGATCTGAGTTAAACACTTATTAAACAATTGTCAACTAGGGATTTTTTCGTTAATTTTTTATTAATTGATTTATTGGGTTTCTTTTTGTTTTGTTAAACACTTAAGCAGCTTTTTGGCTCTCGAATTCGTACGGAGGGTGCTTCATGTCAGCACGCACGCATGAAATGGTAGAGTTAATTAATCTTTAGTAACAACGTACAAAACAGTCTACAAAAAAAAAATAGTAGATACAACAAATGCATATTAGTTTATTGATTTTTTATACTATTTCTCATTATCAGAAAATTTGTAAATACGAGTATCTCACCATAAATTTTAGTTGAGGTGGTGTAGCATGTCTTATCTTGAACTGAATAGTTTTTTTTCTTTCTTTTTTTTCAATTTTATTAAGAATCCAAACTTGTATTTGCATTTGGTAATAACATTTTTTTTAACAAAATGATGCCAAAAACAACGTTTAAATAAATGGCTTCTTCTGACTTGTCTAAAATCCTATTTATCTATTTTGGTTATCATAAAGATAATTCTGTAAGAAAGGCGAAGAATTTAATAAAGATTAAGTCATATAATTTGAAGCATTGATTTACATCATGATGAACGAAGGTTAATTCTTGTTAACCTAAATCTATATATATATATATATATATATATATATATATATATATATATATATATATATGAAATTGTAAATTCTTAAGATCCTTATTCATATTATTGAATGATTGTTAACATAAAATTATTGAATTTTTTACAAATTTCTCGTGTAATTTATTCTTTCTAAGTGTCATTACTTCTTAAATTAAAACATTTTTTATTATTGTTTTTTCATGCTAATAATGAAAATTATAGTTAGTTAAAAAAATTGGAGAGAAAAGAGTGACCATGAATGCAATGATTTTGTTAATTATTCTCATGGCCTTGTTAATATATATTTTTACGGGTTTACAAAAAAATATATATATATATATTTTTATGGTACAAATTAACAGGTAAAAATTAAATATTTATTATGTTTCATCAAAACAACATATATTTTTTCATAATAAGGTATTACATTTTTTTATTTTTATGAAAGGACATTTTTTTAATTTCAAGATATTAAATACATTTACTTTTAATTTAATAAAAAAAAATTAAATTTCTTAGCATTTACGGTAATAGCACATGGTAATCGAACCCATAATATTTTATCTTTTTCATATCCAATTTTAGTTTTGTTACAATGGCAATACTGTTTGAGTTTAATTTTGTATGTACTGATTAGTTTAAAATATTTTTACATTATCATCAAATAATATAATATGTTATCACATTATTTAATGAATTTCTGTCAGTTTTATTGATAATCTTACATTACATCATTAAATTGTAGTGTGAAACTTTTTTATTCTAATAATTTGTAATAAAATTAAGAGGGAGGTTGTATTACCTATGAGTTTAATATTCCTACCTTTTAGTATCATTTTTTTATTGTTGGATGATATCTAAATCAATGACTTCTAAACACACTGATCCCACTACTTGAAAGATAGAGCAAGAAAATAAAGACAAAAGAAAGAAAGTGATGAGTCTAATGTGTTAAGAAACCATTAATTTATATATCATCTAATACTACTAAAATGATAATGAAATTAAAAAGATTGAATTGATAAGTAATATATCTTAACCTAAAATTAATTATTCTTATCCTGATATAAATTCATTATTCCTGAATTAAAATTAATAATGGCTCATCTTATTAAATAATACTTTCCCCAATCAAATCTGAATAGTCTAACAATATGTCGAACATGATTTGTGTGTAGCATCTAGAACAACCACTTATGAAAATAGGTATTATGTCGTGGCTCTCTACGCAAATGGAATCTTGACACATACCGTACGAGGCCAAACCTCACTTTTTGTTTTTTTATATAGAATCAAAGAGTTTAATTTGCTCTTTAGCTGCCCCAGCGCCATGGGAAGCTTCGGGAGCATCACTGGTAGAAAATTCTAGACGTAATTAATAATTTAAGAATAGAAAAGAAAGATTTAAAGGTACCTACTGTAAACCTGTCACATGGACACTTGTCGACCAAATAGGCTTTTCCGTGTAATATATATTCTTTCCTCACACTATGCAGTTGCAAAAGGCAAAGATATTTTCTCCGGTTACAATTAAAATATTTTGAAAAAGTTATTCCACTTGTTTTATTTTGACCACAATCTTTTATTCTCCTGACTCCTACGTGCGAGAACTCTTTTTTTTTTTGTCTTTTTGATATATTATATCGAGGTAGGATATTTATATTACTAAATCTTTCTACTAGCACTTCACTATTACTCTAATTACCATTGCATTAGAGGAAAAGTTGAATGAAGAGAGAAAAGAAAAACAACTTATAAATTCAATAATTATTAGAGTGGTAGTGAAAAAATTTGATAGTATGAATATCCTATCTCTATTATATTTATCATACTTAAAACGAATTTTAAATTATATCATTTTTTAGTTTAAAATGTAATTATTTTTCTATTTTAAAAATTAACTTGTGTTATATGGTTTTTATTTTAATGTGAGTGAGTTTATTATGGATAGTTTTTGAGTCGATTGTATTCTGATTTTTTTATGCATATAAATTCTGATTTTTTTTTGAATTATTTTGTAAAATAATTAATAAAATATGTGTTTTTTATTTTTATTTTTTTAAAATTAAAAGTTAAAACAAAATAAAAGTAATTTAGATATGTTCTCTAAATTTGATTTAAAAATAATAACATTTTTTTTGAAAAAAATTACAAAACAAATCTTATTAAATAAGTTTTTTATTTTTTTCTTAAAATCAAAAAAATTATTTTTCAAATCAAATTTTAAACAGGCCTTCGTCTCTCTAATTCTTGAGCACATCTTTACGCTATTGTAGTATGTACTCTTTTATTAAAAGTAAAAAAGAGTGATAAATTTGAGAAAAATAACTATAAAATGAAAGGTAAAATAGTAAAAAAAACTTATATTTTTCTTGAATAAATGATGCACCCAGTCTTTATTACTACTGTAGTATTGAAAATATTTCCTTAATTCTTATCCCAAACGACCCACCCTTGGCTTTCATTTTCCATTGCCGACAACGCAGGCCTGCCATAAAATCTCGGCTCCCTCGTATCCTTTCAATCGTTATCTATAAGGAATAGGAATAGGAATAGGAACAGGAACAATAACAAGGGTCAGGGACGCAGCTATGGCCAAACAACGCTTGCAGTTTGGGCGACTCTGACACGCAGATTGTGTATTTGGACACCATGGAAACTGGGGATTTCGCTCTGTTTAGAAATTCATTGGAAAATACACTAATAAAAAATTTATTCAAAACATTAAATTTTTTAATATTAAAAGACTTTTATTCTTAAATTAAAAACTTCGTTACATATCACTTCTTGAAAAAATCTTAATTATCATAATTGAATATCATGTAATATATTTAAGAATTATAATTCAAGAGGAAGGTTATATTTACAATCTTTTTTTTTACAACCTCTTATAACCATATTTTAATATCGTTGATTTCCGTCAATCAACGGTTATTATTTTTAATTTTTAATTTACAATAAATAATAACCGTTGATTGGTGGTAATCAACGATGTTAAAATATGATTGTAAAAAGTTGTAAAAATATAACCTTCCTTATAATTCAATATCAACGAATTTTTATTAAAGAATCTTTTAAAATTTTGATTGAATACACCCGTAAATCTCATTGTCGAAAAGTTTTATATCTCTAATATCAATTTTGAAAATTTTAAAAAAAAATGAAAATTATAAATGAAATCGAATGATATAAACAATTTTGTACATCAAACTCTAATAGGATAAAATCTACCTAGGATCTAGATTTCGCTTGAGCATTCATCTTCAAAGTTGCTTGTACTTTTAAGTCTTCATTTGACGTAATTTTGACTTTCATCCTCAAGCTTGCTTGTAGTTTATTCTCATCTTTTGATGTTTGACTCATCAAAATTTCTTGGTGAAAGTGGTGTTTTGATATTGTCAATGTACTTATTTCTAAGTTAATCGAGTTCACAATCTCAACTTTAGCTTTTATTTTGGACAGAACACGTGTGGGAGAGTGTTGAAGGGCCTAGTTGTTTGCAAATTGTGAGGACTGGGGACAAGGGTCGTTTGTGGCGAATTTATTCATTTTGCTTTCCGATTCTCCACTTTTTCAAAAGCTGGAATCTGTAGTTTTTCTGCCACTTGATCCAGTTGGTTGCATGCTGACTTGATCAAAGCGTTTGAAATGAGTACATAATGGCTTGATTTATTTAATATCTGCAGTTGGAGAGAAGTGCTACACTTATTAGGCCAAAATTAACAGTTGCTGGTTCTAGTGCCTAGCCTTTATGATTGTGCACGTATTCACAAAGTAAACTACATGTGATTACAGAAACTTATATTTTATGTTTGAAACAATTCAGTGATGATAACATTATATCTTTTATGCTTGAAATTTTACAGGTATGTGACAAGCAGAAGGCAGTTCTATTGGCTGGTATAGCAGACATAGTGGATTGGTTGCTACAGGCCTTTTTCCTCCTTTTGATTATGCACACACATGTCACTTTGTGGACCACGTGGAGCTATGATCTCCTTCAGGAAGAGTGTGAAAGAGAACAACCAAGGCAGGAGGTGAGTCTTAATTCTTAAATACTAACTTTATCGCAATAAGGAAT